TGTGATACGGTCACACTTCCGCTTTAACCCGAATCACCTCACATGATTCTACTCCGCTTTAGCCTACCCCCTAATTTGGGTAATTTTTTTTAATTACATATTGAACGTGACCTCTTCATTAATTACATATATTTTAATATGATATAACTAATAATTAATAGATTATAGTTTAAAAAATTATAGCATATTTTATAAATCATAGTTTAAATTATATAGTATAAGTATAAATGAATTAAAATTTTAGACTCTTTATTTACTTTTGCTAATTTTTTGATATTTTTCTACTATTTTCTACTATTTTTTCTACTTTTATTATTAATTATTTCTAATTTATCAAATTTATCAACATTAAAAACATTTACAAATAATAAAATTGAATTGAATTAAACAACCATCTTCGTAATTATGGTCGTCAAAGTCCATGAAAATATATTTAAATATATATATATATATATTTTTGTTTTTTTTGATGAAATATATTATAATGCAATTGTAAAATTATAAAATAATAATAATAATAACTAACTAAAACTAACTAACTAATTAACTAACTAAAATATAAAATACTTTTGATTCCCTAAAAAATATTAATTGAGGGAAATTATGCTAACAATATATATATAAAATAAATAATAAAAAAAAAAGCACTTAATAACATTATCAACATGTTTATAAATGCTATTTATAAAAATAAACCAATAAAAAAATTAATTTTATATTACAAATTTTTTTTTTTTTTTTGCAAACCAGCCGCCTTATGAATTTATATAACAAAATAATAATTAAAAAATAATATATTTAAAAATAAGTGAAAAAAAATAAAGTCGATTTTTGATATTTAATAAAAACCAAACCCCTTATTCTTTTCTTCTGACCCATTTCTTACTTGGATCTCTGGGTGCAGGAGGTTTAGTTTGACGTGTGATACGCCTAGGGACTCTCGGCCTTCGACGACGATTGATAGGACGGGAACGTCTCACCCTATCATCGTCTTCATCGTCACTGTCCTCATCAGAGTCAACTTGATCTTCGCCCACCTCATTTCTCTGGTCGAATCCACATTCCAAGATTTTTATCTTTTCAATTCTAGCTGAACGTCTCAATTCAGTATTGTGGCATTTTTTTCCATTGCCAACCTCTTCAACTTCTACCAATGTTTTCTCGCTTGAACCATCATCGATATTAAATTTATTATGATCATCATAATCACTCCCATCGTTAAGATCCTTAGATTTAGAAAGCGATTGATTATTATTCAATTTTGTACAATCATTATTTAAGCCCTTAGTAATTGTTTCTACATCCATACTACTGTCAGTAAATTCTATATTATTATTAGAAGAATGACCAGGAATTGTAGACGTATCATCGTTATTAGGAGTAAGAACGTCATGATTAAGAGTTTCGATAGGTGCATCACAATCAAAACTTGCTAGTTGTGTAGGATTATCTATATTGGAATTTTCTAGATGAGTAGGAACTTCACGATCAGAAGTTGTTAAAAGAAGAGGTGCAAGTATATTACGATCCGAAATTGCTGAAAGAGCAAGATGTGAAGCTTCATTATCAGAGGATGACAAATGAGGATATATAAAAGGTCCATTAAGATCAGTAATTGCCGAAAGAGAAAGAGTAGGACCATTAAGTTCAGCGATTGCTGAAAGAGAATGAGTAGATCTATTAACATTAGGGGTTGTCGAAAAAGGATTAATAGGAGTTCTATTATGATCAAGAATTGCCGAAAAAGAATGAGTATGAGTTGATCCATTAATATCAGAGGTCGCTGATCCATTACGGTCAGGAATAGGAATTGGTGTAGGAGCTTCACGTGCACGATTCAGAGCTTCACGATTAATGGAGTTCAATGCTAAATATATGACATCTCCACCTTTCTTCTTATTTTGAGAAGAATTAGCACGTCTACGATTGTTAGATGATGACGAGTGTTTCTTTGTATTGGCCGTGGAAGAACGAGAATTTTTATGTCTACCACCAACAGTCATCGTAGGAATAGTTGACATTCTTGTTCTTCTTGTATCGAATTCATCTACATCAATGAGACGACCAGATTGTTGTCTTGCTTGATCATGATTCACGGAAGAAGTCAATAGATCACCATCAATAAGACATTCATTACCAGGATTTTCTGAATTATTAATAACATTTGCAGAACTTTTAGAATTTTTAGAAACATCACATTCATTTCGAGATGTAGTATGATGTTCAGGAAGTGTTATTGGCGGTAACCATTCTAATGCAACCGAACTGTTTTGAGCTGGTGGTTGCAATGGATTTACAAATGGTCGTAATGGGGGAAGCATATTAGGACCATAATGTTGATGATCTGGTTGGGAAAGAACAAATCTTGAGGCAACAGCTACTTGAGGAAGTTGATTTGATTCAATATTTGGTGGTGGTGGTGGTGGTGGTTGTTGTTGTTGATTAGATAAATAATTGGTGTTATTGGTCGTATTTGATACTGTATGTGAATTTGTTGACGAATTTAAATTGTTGACATCCAAACGCCTCCATAAGTTTGATGAATGACTTATTGATGAATCATGAGTTAACGTTATATTGGATGATGATGTATTGTGGAATCTTGATGAGTAACGTGACGTAAATGGTGATGATGAAGAAGAAGATGAAGATAAAGAAGATGAAAAACCAGGTAACGATAATGAATGATTAGGTCGCATCGATGAGAATCTACGTAATGATGCAAGTCTCGATCGAAATGATGAATGTCTAGATCTCGATGATGAATGTTTGGATCGTCGTCTCGATGATGAATGCCTAGATATCAATGATGAAATACTAGGTAGTGAAGATGAATTATTAGGTAACAATGATGAAATGCTAGGTAGTGAAGATGAATGATTAGGTACCAATGGTGAAAGATTAGGTAACGAAGATGAATGTGAAGATGAATATGAAGATGAAGATGAACAATTAGGTATCAATGATGAGATACTTGGTAACGATGATGATGAAATGTTAGATTGAGATGAAGAAAAGTTAGGCATCAATGATGAAGCATTAGGTAACGATGATGATTTATTAGGTATTGAAGTAGAAAGGTCAGTTAGAGAAGAAGGAGGACCAGGTAATGAAGAAGAAAGACCGGAAATACCAGATAATGAATTAGACAGACTAGGAAGTGGTGATGAAGCACCAGGTAATACCGGAGAAAGACTAGAAGAATGACTAGGGGGTGATGAAGGAATATCAGAAGAATGATTGGGTAACGAAGATAATGATGATGATGATTTATATAAAGCTGGATTGGTGAGCTCCTTGAAAGAATTTGATGACACACTTTGTGTATTTGTAGATTTTTTTAGGTGAGCCATCTGACGAGCCTTCATATTTATTGGATAAACTGGAGTTGGACGGTGTAAAAATGTAGGGTGATGATTATCAACCAATTTTAATTCATCCAATGAGGGGAGCTTATCATGGTCTCCACCGTCTATGAATGCTATGAAAAAATTGGCACAAAAAAAAATTTTTTTAAATATATATATATATATATAGTTTGTAAAGTATAAAAAATATAAAAAATATAAAAAGTATAAAAAGTATAAAAAGTATAGATATAAACGTACTCAAATCCGAATCAGAGACCCCAATTGAAGACATTATAGTTTCACTTCCCTTGTTGAAGAAGAGACGATTCCTGACTTCGGGTTCTATTCCTTCGACATGTCGAAGTTGCTCCCGGACATTTGGGTCTATTGCAGCATCATTTATAACACTTTCGATCCTGCTGGTCCTACTTCGTATTATTTCTTGACCAGGAGGAGGACCACGTTTCTTTCCTGGCTTTCCAGGTTTACAGTCTTTCTCTAGTTTTATACAATAAGAGCAAGGGGTTTCTCCCGAGCATTTTATTTTCCTCTTCTGGCAATTTTGACAAGCCGTCGTCACTTTTAGACGGTAATTATTTTTACTTTTAGTCATCTCCTTGGCAAAAACTTGAAAAATTAAGAAAAAGAATAGTGTTATTTTATTTAGTTTGAACAATGGTTAGTCTCAAAAGTTTTAAATTACCAGAGGAGAGAACAAAACTCATAAGAAATTTCTTTTTGTTCGAACTTCTCTCATTTAATAAACAAAGAAATTAGTATACACAAATTGTTACACAAGCATGTAAGAAAACAATAAAATAAGAAAAAAAAAAGGTAGAAAAAAAAAAAAATTATAGAGCGGAAAAATCTCGGACTTGTTCGGATAAACCTTGTTATGCTAATATCTTTGGTTTCACTTATAATTCCAGTTGTAGTTAAAAATTTGTGCATAGGATACGCCTTTTTCAATCTTCAAACTTTGGAAAAATGTGAACCAGATTAACGCATATAACAGACAATTTTCGATGTAAGTAAAAAGTTGAACACAAATAATGAATAACAAAATTATATAAATTATAAATTACATAAAATTATATAATGAACACCTTTATTAAGAAAGCCAACTTAGGAGTTTACACAAATTATGGAAGTTTGTAATACGGAGAATTTCAAAATAAGGTTTGGTATGGGGTGAAAATTTGGATAAAGTAAGTATGAAAACGCCCTACATGTGAAACTGTAACTATTCATTTACAATTCGCAGTATTTTCTTGACAAATTAAGGAATTTTTTGTATCAAAAAAAAAAATTTACACAGTTGTTGTTTGTTCATCCTTTAGAAATTTTTTAGAAATAAACAAATTCCAATTGTTTCACGTATTAAGTACAGTATCAAATTTTATTTATTAATTTAATATAAGGTGATTGATTTTATTAATTCGATTTTTTTTTTTATTTTATTAATTTATTGACTTTGATTTTTTATCAATTTTTATCAATTTTTTAATCAATTTTATTAGTTTTATTATATGGACAAAAAAAAAGGTATTCAAGAAAGATTTATAAATGATAATAGGTAAGAGATCTATTATGTAAAATATATTATTGACTTTAAAAATACAAGTCTCATGTAATAGTAATTCAAATTTAAGTGATTAACAGTTTTTATTTAACAATTTGTAACACTGTTTATAATTGGTTATTTATTTATTACATAAATAAGCCCAAGATTAATTTTTTACACAAATCAGAGAATTGTACATAATTTGATAATAGAATATCATTTTATATTTTAAATTCAACATATTTTAGATAATTATTGTTCATGTGTTTGTAAATTTTTTTATTTATTTTACAATTATTTGTTGTTTAATTCAAATAAATAAAGCTCAGTTCTTGTTAATGGTTTTTTTTTAAAAAACTTTTTGTTAGAAATTTATACAATTAATTTAAATATTCGAAAAATTTTATTTGACACAAATATTTGAAATTACTATATATCAGGTGATCAATAGATAATGAAATAAAAAAAATATCTCAATAAGTTAGATTTTACATATGTTGCACACTTTTAAAATAATTTTTTTGATGAAATGAGATGTAAAAAAAAATAAAATATCTCAATTAATATTACCGTATACTGCGGCCGGGTATTTTACAAATTTTGGAATTTTTGCTTTATACCCAGGGTATAAAATTTATAACCCCGAGTATTTCAAAAAACTTGAAAGGAGTACCATACATAGGGGCCAGTCTCAATATTATAAAATTGTTATTGTAAAATTGTAAGAAATATTTTAAACCGATTTTATTGTTGGAAAATTTTTTTTTTTTTGAATATTTCTTTGTCGCGTCCGAGTTTAATTCAGATCAGCAATACAATATTATATTATTATTCAAATATGTTATCTGGTCAATTATTAAATTGATATTTTTAATAGTTTGAATAAAAGAATCAATTTAGAAAAGTTCAAATATATATATATATATATATTTACTAAATTAAGAAGGAATAAATTTATTATAATTTTAGATCTTTGAAGGATCACCGATTATGATTCAAAAATGTGTAACGAGGACGATCACAGTACATTTTTTTCAAAAGATTTCTTTAGGATATTGAAGCACTATCGGCGTTACAATTTTTTCCGAATTAGTACTGATAATAATCTTTTAGTTATTTAAGTCGGAATATATTTCCTATTTTTTTGAGATGCAATTCATTATTCAAAAAAAAAATGTCTTTCTAAAAAAGATTCATTTAAAAATGCACCAGAAAATAGATACAATATTAAATATTTTGATTATAAACATTTGATAATCCCCGATATTTCGCTAAAATCTTTGCGTGACGTAAATAAGGTGATGAATTTTATATAAAATTTGGGAATGAGGTAATTAAATTAAACTATTTTAAGAAGAAATTAACCCAAAATTTTTTTTAAAACCACTAGTTAAAAAATATAAATGCAGTTAATCACCATGATAACATTAATTTGTTATTAAATTTGTCATTTCTTTGAATTCGTTATTTAATCAATATTATTTAATTTAATATTAATAATAATAAATTTTTATTTCAATTGTTAAATATTTATATTTATTTATTTAAAGATCCTTCAAAGACTCATTATCTGGTGTTACAATATGCTAAAGATGGTGATTTAAGAACTTACAAAACAATTTTGAAAAACTAGATTGGAAAATTAAAATTAATGGCTAAGATATTGCAAGAGGTTTATATTGTATTCATGAAGCCAAAATTGTTCATAAAGATTTAGTAAATATATTCAAAATTTCCTGAATGTATGTTAAGATATCTCTTAATTAATTATTATCTTAGAATTTTACAATATATTTTAAGTAAATTATAATTATATGCCTAAATTTATTTATTTATTTATTTATTTTTTTAATAGCATTCAAAGAATATTTTGGAAGATTATTGATTGGAGATTTAGGATTATCCAAATATTGGATACCAATTCAAGTTCCCTTACGGGAGGAATGGTTTCATATACTGATCCTGCGTATTTAAGAAATATGAAAGAAGATATATATATAGTTTGGAATTCTTTTCTGGGAATTATCTAGTGGAAGGTCTCCATTTCATGATATTTCAGGTTTAGAAATATTTATTATGATGATTAGTTCATGTGAAAGGGAAACACCTATTTAAGGAGTACCAATAGATTATATCAATATCTATTCAAATGCTTGGAGTGATTATCCAAATCAAAGGCAAAATATAAAAAAGATTTGTTGTTTTCTTGAAAATATTCGATTAGAAAATGTTTATGATGAAGATACAAGTGAAGATAGTCAATCAGAAGAATTAGTAGAAGTTAATGATCACCCTAGTGATATCGTATCAAATTGTTCGGGTTCAGAAAAAATAACAGGTATTTCTCGTATTTCTTTGTTATATTTATTTTTATATTTATGTAAGAAATTATTTGTTATTATTTGATTGGCCGTAAAATACAATCTATTAAAACATTTAATTTATATTCTAAAAAAAAAAACCAGAGCAAGAATGGCTTGAAAATTCAATAAAAAGTAATCAAATTATCAAATATGATTATAATTCTTTTGAAAATATTGAATATATCGAAAGAGGGTTATTTGGAGGCATTTACAGCGCTATATTGAAGAATGAAAGCATGAAAGTGGTTATAAAATCTATTGTTGTTAATTCTAATTCTATGGAATTATTTGTTAATGAGGTAAATAATGTTTTAAATAAATATTTCATACTAAAAGTTTATTATTAAATTTTAATTGTTATTTTAGCTTAAAAAATTTTCAAATGTCGATTGGCATATAAAATTCTTCGGAATTTCACAAAAAGGTAAATATTAAAAAATTAAAATCCAAATAAAATAAAATAAATTTTTTTAGTACACTATTATTATTTGTATCTTTTAATGCAGATCTAAATAGTGAAGAATATATATTTGTATTAGTATATGCAAATGGCGGAACATTACGAAACTATCTAAAAACCAATTTTAAAAGAACTTGACTGGAGTGATAAATTAAATAATGCACAACAAATTGCTAAAGCAATTAAACATTTACATTCATATAACATCATTCTTGGAAATCTGGTAATTCTTTAATTTTAATTTTGAAATAAATTAAAACAAATTAAAATAAATTTAATGTATAATATAAATTAATATAAATATTAATATAAATATTAATATAATTTTAACATAATTTTTAATATAATTTTATTTGTAGAATTCAAGGAACGTTCTCATCCATAATAATGATATTAAGATCAGTAATTTTGACACAATCAAGTTTATCATTAAACTTTTAATTGATTTGTTAAAATCTTCGAGATTAATAGAATGCGCAGATCCAATGATTTATAAAATGCAAAGCAAATTTAATAAAACTAAAGCTTCCGATATGTTTAGTGTTGGAATTTTATTGTGGGAAATCTCAAGTGGAAGAATCCCATATGAATCTTATTTTCAGAATGATTCGGATAAGAAAATTTCTTATATTATTGAAAGAAAACGAGAAAAGCCCATCACTGGAACACCAAAAAGTTATATTAAAGTCTATCAAGGTTTGTTTTTATTTTAAATACAATTTCTTTTATGAAAAGGTCACGAGAAATTTTGTGAAAAAAAAAAAAATTAAAAATAGATTTATTATTTATATTATTTTATTGATTACTTGATTATTTGATTATTGATTATTTGTTTATTCATTAGTTTATTTTAACATCTCATCTATATTATTTAAATGGATTTTGTTTTTGTCGCATTGGCGATATGTTTGCATGGGGTAGTTTTATTGGTCAACCCCAATGTGACGTGTCGTAGTGCGACAAAAAACAAACCCCTATTTAAATATTTATTTTATATTTATTATTTCAATAGAATGTTGGGATCAAGATCCAAAACAACGTCCAAATATTGAGAAAGTTACACATGGCTTGAATTTATTACATAAGTTGTTGAATCAATGGAGTGAGTAAATGCTTGATTTTATAAAGTTTCAAACTAATTTAATACTTCACTAATTATTGTAATTAATTTATATACGTTATATACGTTATACATTTTATATACATTATATAACTTTATATTAAAGGACGTAAGTATTTATATTCTAAACGTTAAATTATTAAATCGATATTAAATTAATATTAAATTAATATTAAATTTTGAATTAATAATTTATTAATTAATTATAATATATTATTACAGGATGTTAGTATTTAGATTAATGTTAAAAGTTTATTATTAAATAATACTTTTCTAACAATTATTATTAATCAATTGAATCTACATTTTATTGTAGTGAGTGAGTAATCAATTAAAATAATTATTGAATTCGATGTTTCCAGTTAAATTAACATTAAATAACTCTTTTCTATTCATATTTTTATTATATTTTATTAAATCTTATTATAGGTCGTGAGTATTTGAAATTATTAATTATTTAGATTAAAGTTTCCATCTAATTAAACATCAAATAACGCATCTAATTAATTATCAATCAATCAAATAATCAATATATTATATTACAGGAAGTAAATATTTTCATTATTATTAAAGCTTTGAATTTATTTAATATTAAATGTAATATTTCTTTTTAATCAATTATTACAAAAATTAATTAATTAATTGCAGTAGTAAGTAAGTATCTCATTAAAATTAAAGTTTAATATCAAAATTAATACTTTTCTAATTGAATATTAATCAATTATTTGGACCTCATATTACAGAAAGTAAATATCTGGATTTATAATCATTAAAATTAAAATTTCAAACTTAATTCAATATCAAATAATATTTCTCAAATCCATTGCAAGATTTATTCTATTAATATTTTTTATATTTCCTGATATTTAATTAACTTGAAACACTTGAAACTGATCAATAAATTACATTAATGCATTACAGGAAGTGAGTAAATATGTGATACAGATACATAAATATTATATTCAAAGTTTTAAAGTTATTTCACCCACTAATTCTTGTTTTTTTTTTAAGTAGAAGACCCACGTGTACCTTTTGCTAACATAACATAAAATCCAATCAAATATATTTGATATGTGGATTTGAACAATAATTGGAAAGTTTGTTAAATTTATTGAATTTTATTCTGATTTTTAACCTTTGTTTTTATGTATCATAAATAATTAATTTTCGCATTCCCATTCATTTAAACAATTAATTTTTTTTTCATTAAAGTTAGTTCATTAGATCATTACAAAATTAGACACGATAGACACAAGAAGTTATCTATTATTCCATACATATGTAAATAAAGCGTTCATAAATATTTTCCTTTGTATAAAACTTTATATACAATTACTTTACATCTTGTTCTGATGTAATTTTTATCTTCGGTTACAGGAATTTGCATTATTAACATTCCTAAAGTATTTATTTATTTATATTTATTTCAACGATTAAACTTTGTCGTCGTTTTTATTCCGTTAATTAATTTTATATCTTCTCAAGAAATTATTTAAATATCAAAGAGAGAAAAATTCATTGAAAATTTATCTATATAAATGATTATATTCACGACAATCCAATCGTTAAGATTAATTACCAATTTATATTATTATAAATTGATCACGTTTAATTATAAATATTTTAAATAATTGATCATTTCTAGATTATATTTTTTCCATTAAAAAAACTCTATTCGGTTTATTAAAATCATCACACAAAAGAAATAATCTATATTTGAGTTACTTGAAATTATCTGTTGGGGGAGGTAGTTCTGGACAATGTAATCATGATTCTTGTTATCAGATTAAGAGAAAGCATTTCAATGGTACTTAAAATCTGCAGAAGAGAAATACTAATGAGAAAGATAATCTTGGTGATTGTTATCACTTGTAATTGGATAAAGAGAAAGCATTCCAATGGTTCCTGAAGGAGGAGATAGTGAAATTGTTATCACCTTGGATTTGGAACTTTAAAAGATGAAGAGAAAGCTTTTAAGTAGTACTTGAAATCAGCTAAAGGGGAAAATGGTAATGGACAGAACAATAGTGGATATTTTTATGAACATAGGATTGGAATAACAAACGATGAATAGAAAGCTTTTGAATAATCTTGGTAGGTGTTATCAACTTGTAATTGGAACTACAACAACAGACGAAGAGAAAGTATTTCAGTGATTCCCGAAATCAGCTGAAGAAGGAAATATTGATAGACAACAAAGTCTTGGGTTTGTTGTCAATTTGGAATTGGAACTCTGAAAGATGAGGAGAAAGCATTTCAATGATTTTTTGAAATCTGCAGAAGGACTGGAACTTGTTATCGTAGTACTATGAAAAGATAATGATAAATCATTTATTGATACCTAAAAGAGGAAATAATAGTGACAGAATCTTTTTGGATTTTGTTTTCAATATGGGGAATAGATGAAGAGAAGGCATTCAGTGGTAGTCGAAATCTGCAGAAGAAGGAAATAGTAGTGAACAATTAATCTTGGCATTTTTTTTTTCAAGGGAATTAGAATTGTAGAAAAATAAAGAAAAAAGCATTTCAGTGGTACTTGAATCTGCTGAAGGAGGAAACAGCGATGGACAGAACGTTCTAGAATGTCGATAACGGATGTATTGTTATCATAATAATAAATTACCAGTAATAAAAACAACCAAATAAATAATCATAATATTATAATTAAAAAATTATTTTATAATTGCAAATTATCTCTGCAATAATTTTTATTATTAATGGTTAATTAATATTTCCTTGAGCTGAGCAATATATAAAGCTTCCTCGCGGAAGAAAATCCTTTTAGCAGGATTTTTAACTCGAATGTTTCGAACGAATACTCGATACATGCACGTTCTACGTACAGAAATTGATCAATGCACTTTATTTCTTTGGACATGAATGTTTGACATTGGTGCATATTGATGTTAAAAAAAAAATAAGAATAGATAAAATAAATATGATTTCACCATTTATTAAAATTATCCTTTCTTTTTTAATACATTTTATAGTATATTATTCTTAATGAAAAACAAAATAATTGTGGAAATTAATCCTAATAATATTTTCTCATCATATATATTTCGTACATTTATTTTGAATAAAAAATGTAATCACATTGTCATTCTTTACTTTTTTAGATTAATTAATTTTTTTCTATTGTAGGAAATAATCTAAACTTATGGGAATGTTTGAGTTACATTTCATTGTAGGATGGCATTTTTTGTTTTTTTTTTTACAATGAAATTACTAATTGTCGCTTGTTGTTACAAACGTCTAAAATTAATTTATATTTTTTACAGATACAAATGACTGACGTAAAAGGAAATTTTCTCGGACCCGGAGATAGCGGGAAGGAAATGGGTTTGCTCCGGCATTGAAAATATGTTTATTGTTGTATATAATTTTTATTCAAAATTAATACAGATAATCTGAACGATAGATAACAATTTTATACATATTCTTTTTTTAGATTATTATCTTAGTAATTGAATAATGAATCGTACGTTCAGAAAAGGTTTTTATTTTGGAAAGTGCATATTTTTTTTGCATCGATATTGTGCACATTATACAATCATTTATTTATTTATTAAATATCTAAAAATATCATAAAGAAATTATTTTTTATAACTTAGAGACAACTTAGTGTAACAAATTTTTTCTCATATCCATTACATAAAAGTATCCATAATTCATTTTCCGTCAAAAATAAAAAAAAAACTTGACATTAAATTTTCGCGGGCTTAAATCCACAAATTTATCTTTTTCTAAAAAAATAAATTAAAATTTTTATATCTATTATTTCATCATAATGATACGATCAAGTTTAAATTTGATAATAGCGTGGATAACAATTTTTTCCCTGACGTCTTCGGTATGTCCTGGAATTTTTACACATAATGAAATGAATACATACCCCACACAACTACGGATATGGCAACACGGGGAATATATCGATGGGACAGTGGTTCTTCGAATTATTAATAGGGATAGTAATAAAACATCTCTTACTGGAGAAGTGTGGACGAGACCAATGTTATCTTTACGCATTATTCATCCCAATGGAACAGTCAATGAATTAAACATAGACAAAGACCTAGAGATTCAAGAATTTAACTGGCGCATTTTTACAATTCCTGGTGTTAGTGGTTTCCAGGACCCTATAAGTATATATGCGCTTCATAGGGGCTACTTAATTGTTAGATACTTTAAAGCTTTAGATGATACCAATTTTACAACTTACGAAGAATGGGGACGTATTATTGATTGGTATGGCAATTTATATAGGTAAATATTTCCAATAATTCTATCATAATCATATCATATTACATCATATTATCTTTAATAACAATGACAATTATTATCTAAACAATGAAGTGAAGTAAATTTCGGGGATGCTTTCATCTTGAATGGTACATGGTACACATCATTAACGGCGATAATAACTAACGTTGATCCATCCAAAGGTTTTATAAGGACAGCTGGGGAGAATTCATCTTTTGTCGACTGGCAACAATATATGATGTGAGTTTTTATATTGACATACGTTTGATTAAGATTTTACAATTTTACAATTTTAATTTATTTTTTAGAGATGATAAATTAAATCTTGTAAAGTTATCAGAAGGAAATGTTACACTTCCCATGGAAGATGGAGCTGCTGCAATACTTAATACCGTAGCTACTGTTGACGAGGGTTATAGCATAATTCTGGGAAATTCCACCTCCAACTCCGTTAATCCCGACGATCCTTTGGAAGTTCAAGCCGCGGTGTATGATTTAAAAATAGGATATAATGAAACAGAATTTAGTGCACCAAAACTGCTTTACCAATTACCCTTACCTAATATTACAATATCTCAAATGTTTTGTAGTATTTCAAGTACTGGGGCTGGACAAGTTTGTTTACTTAACGTCAGAAAGGTCGTCACACAGAACAATGGCACACAGAACAATGACACACAGAGCAATGTCACTGTCAATAATTATTATGTGAAACTTGATTTCTTAATATCTGGCTCTGTAACAAAAATCACTTCATTACACAATTTACCCTCATTACACCCAAATTCTACTACAGGATGGCTGATAGAATCTATTCCTTTAGGTGGTTATTTATTCTATGGTTATTTTAATGCAAGCAGTATCAATGCTTATGGATACTATTATGACGAAATCGCAAATAATTATGAGGAATGGGATTTTCCAGATCCGACCGTTTTAAATATCAGAGGAACTTTGATAATTCTGCCTAATAATACTCTGTTAGTGGCACCTACAGAAAATAATAATACGTGGAGTTTTAATACCGCTGATATGCCTAATTACTCAGGATTTTCGGATAATGGTTATTCAAATCTTCTAATAGATTCTACAAGTCCCCAAATTAATTATAATATTACAAAGGATACGAAGGACATTAATATCACATATCATCAACCAGTAGAACTTTCTGATGGAGATGGATTTATTTGGATCTATCGAATTGATGACAAATTTACTACTCAAAACATTACTCGACAATTTGTTGGTAGCAACAATGATGAACTTTGTTCCATCTCTGATGATTCATTAACTGTAACTGTAAAAGTTATCAAAAGTACCTTTAGTTACCCTAATAGCCAATATTATGTTAAAGTTGACAATAACTTTGTAAGAAGCAAAGAATACGGTGAACCCTTAATGGGTATATATGATAATATTTGGAAATTCAATACAAGTATGTAAATAAATTATTTTTATTTTATTATCAGTTATACGTTGCCAATTTTAAATATTAAATATTTTCTCTCTTTATATTCTGAACGGTTTTTAGGTTCAATTGAAGAACCTTATGCAGGTAAATTTCAGTGCAGTGCAATTGTTATTTATGTGTGTTTAATATAATATCACTCAAAATGTATTGAAAATTTCTACAACAGGCACAACATCTGGAATGATGCGTTTAACTATAGAAGGCACCCAACACTACTATAATCTTAATTCAACTGGAAGAACTAATTTATTTCAAGATATAATAATTGAATTATCTAAAATTCTTTCTATTAGTTCTAATCGACTAAGTACAAGTGAGAAATGTCAAGTTGATAACACTATTAAACCTAATCGTCAAATATTCATTGAACTTAGAATTCAATCATCCAGAACTGAAAGAAGTGTAAAATCTATTATAGATGATTTAAATGAGATGATTAGAAATAAAAAAATAACTGCCATTAGTTTATTCCCTATCACGAAATATTTAGATGAAAATTATGGATTTATACAAAAACGTGAGTATATATTGAATTTTAAACTTATTTTACATGTTATCATTACTAATCACTCTTTCTTTTTCATTAGAAAACTTATGGAAAGAATACTGGTTGAGATTTACGGGTGCTATCATAGCATTTGGAGTTTTATTGATTCTTTTCGCAATAGCATGGAAAAAAGATAAAAAAAGAGAGGTAAAAACAGGCATCTTATTTATTTAGAATATTATAGAAAATGGAAATTTGCGTGTATTGACATTATTAAATTCTCTTAAAGGGTCGTAACTTGGCTGTTTTACAACTTGGATTAATTATTTTTGATTTTGTAATGGATACCCTTTTCGTCGTTTTCAATGGTACTATTGTTGAAGAATTATATATTCCGAGGTAAATTTATTAATTAATATTTATTTGCATATTTATATTTACATATTTACTTATTCAATTATTTATTAAAATTTATATAATATATAAATAGTGTCGTATTCTTGATCGCCCCAATCGTCATCAACATTATTTGGGCATTTTATATTATCTTTGAAGAAAACAAAAAACCAAAATTCATGAAATGGTTCATTCAATATGGAAGGGTGGTATCAATATTTACAGTTTTATCAGGTGCTGATATTGAAGCATTAAGTATTCTCTATTCAACTCTTGCCGGGTTTGAAATTTTCAATGCTCCATTTTCAAATAAAGGAAAAAGTTTAATCTTTTGGGGTTCTTGGTTAAACATTTTTGTTGAAGATATACCGCAAGTGATCATTCAGGTCAGTCTTCAAATTCTTTTTTATTTATATGAAAAAAATTTGCTATTATTGTTTTTGTTTTCTAATTATAAAAATTTTCAATACTTTTAAGATATTATACCGTACAAGTGTGGTTAGATATGATGCAATTCCTCTTCTTACACTCATCTCTTCAAGTCTTAACTTATTAATAAATATTATTGGCAGATTATATCAAACAATTAATTTTTGTCGATTTGGAGATAAAGTATTTGAAAAGGTAGAAAGAACAAAGGCACTGAAATCGGAGGAAGAAGTAGAAGAATTTGGAGGTCTTCAACCAACAGATAATGCAATGGCTTTCTCTTCAAATGAAGACGTCAAAAAAGAAAAAGAAAAAAATACGGAAAAAGGAAGCTTTAAAGAAGTAATATCTTGATAAAATATATCATTATTTACTTTACTATATTGAAGGTAGTGCATTTTGCACATTTGTGGGGGAAATAAGTTAATATTTGATTGACGAATTCATTATGTATTTATTATTTCATAATTTTAATTTGAAAAAAAAATAGTATTTTTTGCTTTTAATTATTAGGAAACATCTATATTCAAAGTATAAATAAACGAGTTTATATTTGACTTCTGTTAAATAATTATCCATCGTATTTATGATCTGATATTATCATGAATATATTGGTGATAAAATATTATATATCAAGGCTACAGTGCCTTACAAAAGTACTGCAACACCTGATTTTTTGTCTTAAAAAATTCTAGCTCCTGAACAATAGATTTTGAACAATAGTTACTATACATATTTTAATCTGCGAGATTTGGAAAATGTTTTTGTATAATCAACATTGTGAATTGTCATTTAATAAAATTTCAAATGTAAATAAAATTTTTTACAGAATAGTTATGGCTAAGATGATTATAAGGTCGATTGTCCTTCCTAAGGAAAATAAGCATGCCAAATTTCATAACAATTGGATCAGTGGTTACCAAGAAATTAACTCTTGGAAATTGAAATTTTATTAATTTTATTAATTTTATTAATAAAAATAATTTTTTATATGTAAAATTTCAATATTCTTTACAAAATTTTATTCACATTTGAAATTTTATCAAGTTCACAATGTTGATCACCCATTTATCTCAAAGATTAAATTATGTATAGTAATTATTGTTCTAAAATCTATCATTCAGGAGCTAGAATTTTTTAAAGACAAAAAATCAGGTGTTGCAATACTTTTGTGAGCCACTGTATATTGATAAATACGAAGTATCACTAAAACAATTTACCTAACGCAATAAATGAATTCTAACAAAAAAGTAGTAGCAGCATTGACTCTATTTTTTATGCGTGATTCTAGCAATTGATATATATGTTAGATGAATTGAAAGAAATAATGAACTTACAGTTGAAGCAACTCCTTCCTTGAAAACCATAGAGAATTGGCTTTCGAGCCAATCAAAAAAGAAAATGCGGAGAAATTTCTAGAATAAGATTTATAATAAAACCGAAAAGATGCATCGAAATATAAAAATATAAAAATATAAAAATTATTATTTATTTATTGCAAGTATCTTTCAAAAAGGCAAAAAAAAGATTTTCGTTTGTATTACAGTGACCTTATTTGGATGACATGAAATTTTGGATCATCAAAAAGTATTTCAATGTGCAAATATTATATTCTATATTAAATTATTTCAGAAATTTTAATTGAATTAATTTCATTAATACATAGGCATACTTGATAAGTCGTCCACTGATAGCTGGGCTCTTGTGGCTGAGTTATCGAGGTGACCGTGTTATCAAAATTCTTGATAAGTCAGCCGGCCAAGTTATCAAGGTTT